TTTTTTTTTTTTTTTTTTTTTTTTTTTTTGAAGAGCCAGTCGCTCAGCTAGGAGAGGTCGTCAGTGGATGTTATTTTTTTGGGGGGGAGGGGGGGGTGAGCAATGCAGGTTTTTGGAGTCTCTGGACAAAGAGAAGCTCGCGGGAAAGAGCAGCCTGCGGGAATGACACCCACAGCAAACACTCTCTGAGCCTCCTCGTGAAGATATCGTGGCCAAAACCCCAAACTCCCACCCCGGAAAAAAAATTGTGGCCACCCACAGACATTACCTCATCAACAAGACAGCCCATCCTGCAAAGCAGGGTAAAGAATTAGGCCATGTATAAGAAACCAGCAAAACACATCCATCCACAGAGAAAGAGTAGCTCGCTAGTACGAGCCCGATCCTAACCGCTCAAATCTGCCAAGACAGAGAGCTAGCAAGACCGGAATGTGTCTTTGAAAAAGCACCCTCAAATTCCCTCTCTCATTCCCTCCGCTAATCATAACAAACCATCCACAGTGTGTGTGTGAGTCTGTGTGTGTGTGTGTGTGTGTGTGTGTGTGTGTGTGTGTGTTTTAGATATTCCCCACAACAGCCCCAATTCCACCCAGGTGAATAGATTCGGAATCAAAGCAGTCTTTATCCCTTTCTTTTTTTTTTTCTTTTTTTTTTTGAAAACGATAGCTCCGATCTATTCGTGGGGAGCGGCACGTGTTGGGAACCGGCCCCAACGTCCCTTGTAATAAGTAGATGAGGCTATGCATTAAAACCCCCCACACGCTTCCTTCCGTAAGGCCGAAGGACCCCTGAACAGCATTGATTGCTCCACCTTAGTGGAGGATTGACTGTCAGTTTGCCATATCTCTCTTTTTCCTCTCAGACCTGGAAGCCTGGTCTGCCTGATAATGCTATGTCTCCTAGAAAAAGCTCGTCCATTGACCCTGCTGACCTGTGTTTTCCTCTTTACCGCTGTTCTTCCCGATCGGTGTGATCTCCCTTGTCTCATAGTATCCGTCCCCTCCCATCATAGATCTGCTCCCTCCCTTCTCTAGGTCTTAAACCCTAAACCCTCGACCCAAGCCCCCGCATTCCAACCTTCCTCTGAGCCGACCCTGCCTCCATGTCACCCCTTTCTGCGTTGCACCTCTCCCTCCTGGTCTCTCTTTTTTGTCCCATCCTGCCTCCATTGTCCTTCGGTAACTACCCAAGTTCCGCTGTATCAGAAGTTCCTGCTGCGTCTTCCTTCCGTATGACCCATCAAAAAGTTCTGCTGCATCGAACGTAAGCCCTTCGAAAGTTCTGCTGCCTCGAAAGTTCTGCTGCCTCGAAAGTTCTGCTGCATCTAAAGGTGTGCTGTTTCAAAGGTTCTGCTGCCTCAAAAGTAAGCCCTTCCAGAGTTCTGATGCATCTTCTTTCCGCTTGACTCGTCGAGTCCCTTCCGAGCTTGAAACGGGGTTGTTAGTCAGGGGGAGCTGTTCGAAGGGTTGTTTGGGAAAAAGGAGGCGAGAAGAGGTACTTCGTGAAGGTGCATGAACCCCTTGTCTTGTCAATCCCAGCCCTGGAACTGCAGACTTCCTTTCTTTAACTTTGCCATTCTGTTTTCATAGAACCAGATTTTCTCAAACCTCTTCTGCCTTAACTCTCGCTTTTCTGGGTGTGTTAGCCTCTGTTGTTCTTTTTGTTCCTTCGCCCATCGTGCTCTGATTTCTGTTTGTATAGTGGATTTTACTTCTGCCCATCTTTCTTCAATGCTTGGGTATTGACTGTCCAGAGTGCCCTTGCACCTTGCTTTCCATATAACCCAAAGGGCCGATCTCCTCCACAGATCGGCTAAGGGGATTTCGTCATCTTCCAGGTCACTGTCCTCAGTTCTTCCCGCCAGTAGGTAATTTATTCCTGCAGGGAAAATGCGGCCTGTCACCTTATTCCATGCCTTTTTTGTTTTGTCCCATAGTTCTTGGGCTCGTTGGCATAGTGAAAAACAATGTATCATGGACTCTTCTATACTCTCATTACACACTTTACGCCATGCTGATTGAGGTTGGATATCCTCTTGTCGTCTTCTTTTGCTGAGCCATTGGTTGACCGGTACCGCCCAGTAAATTATGAGCCATTGCAGGCTACTAATTCTTGCCGGCCTTATACTGACAAACCTGGACCAGGGTATTCTGCCTGCCCAACCAGCGTTATCTCCTGCGTTTTTCTTCCATCTATCATTGATTACTGGTGAAGGATCCTTGGTGGTGTTGACTAACCTGTATCCCGCACTTACCTCGTAATTGTGCAGAGGGGTGAGTTTCTTGGCTCTCCCCCTTCTGCCCGGGACATACCACCCCCATTCCGCTGGGTCCACTTCCAGTTCCTCGATGCCTAGTTCCGGTCTATAGATCCGGACCTTCTTCTGCTCTTGTTCGAGCTGTGGGCTTCCTTTGCGATTGTTTTTGGGTGTACAGGCTCTGACTTTTTTTAGGGACGTGAGTTCCATTATTACCCTTGGCTCCAGTATTTTCTCTGGTTTTACCCATGTTTTGTGGGTATCTATTAGTTCCCATGATTCGAACTCTGCCTTCCCTTCCCCTGCTTCCAGTATTTTGGTCAGCTTGTATCCTACGTGTGGTATACTTGTACCTCTCCTTGTGGCCCATTCCCCTGTGCACCATTTGGTTCCGGATTTTAGCAATAGTTCCCATTTCAACGGAATGCTGTCGAGCAGACTTTCCAGTTGATTTCTCAGGTTGTGTATTCCTTTTAGTTTGGTTCTCATTTCTTGTGCTGTGAACCAAAGCAGTCTTTATCCTATTGCAGACAACGAGAGCATTTGAGATGTCCAACATATTAAAGTAATTTTATAATTAGACAGTTTTTTGGTTGTCCTTGGGGTACCCCTTTCATTGTTCTTGCAGCTCCCCTTTTACTCTGTGTGTGTGTGTGTGTGTGTGTGTGTGTGTGTGTNGTGTGTGTGTGTGTGTGTGTGTGTGTGTCAGAGAGAGAGAGAGAGAGAGAGAGAGAGAGAGAGAGAGAGAGAGAGAGAGAGAGAGAGAGAGAGAGAGAGAGCACGCTCTCTTTGTGTTTGTGTGTAATCCTGCAACTCCCTATGACAGGAAACGGCCACCTGTGGCGATGTCTGTAATGTGAACTGACCATGCGTATTCCACTTCCAGTAAATGATGGATGGATGGATGGATTGGATTGGATTGGATGAATGGATTGGATTGGATGGATGGATTGGATGGATGGATGGGTGACAAACCTTTCAATCATGAAATAACATTAATATTTTCTTCCAATCACGTCTGGTGCAGAGACGAGGCTTTTGAGATCACCGTGAATGGACAGCTTCTCTTTTCGCGATTGGAGGTAAGAAAGGGAGACTCTGCACTTTGCCTCAACTTATCTCTTTTCTTTTTGGTCCTCCATTTGTGCCCTGGCTACCGTTGTCACCCAAATAGAACGCCCGGTCATTATAGGTGTATTTTTGGCACAACTTTCGGTCCAGATGCAGCGATAATGACCGGGCGTTCTATTCAGCTGAAGACGGTAGCCCTCTTTCGTTTCTCTCTCTCACATACTGCCCCACTGTTCCCTCTTTCTTGAGCCCTTGTGTGCTCTTCTCTCCAATTTGCCAGGACATTACACAGGCGACAGGTCCTAACTGGGACCACAACACCCACAGTTCCCTCTTATATCTGACTTGCAACCTACTCAGGTAACAGATCCTAACTGGGCCCATAACTGGGCCCAGTTATGGGCCCAGTACACCCTTCAGCTCTATTTTATGTCCAGGTACCACTTGTGGCACTTGTGCCCAGGTACCACTGGTGCCAATGTGCAGTGCGTGCACAGGTAGAATACAACAATGCAAGCAATATGAGCGAGGGCGATAGACAGGAGTCCAAATTGCAAAATCACGCTGAAGTCCAGATAGTCGTGTACCAAACAGAAAGCACAATGCACCAAGATACCATCCAAATAAGGGCAAATTGCCAAATACAATGAACTCAAATGTCAATGCTGACGCTCTCTGGTCGCACCAACATAGTATCCAATGTCGCTCCTTCTGTCTGGCGCCCAGCGCCCAGCCTACTCTACTCAGCCTATCTATCCTACCTACGTTCTTGCAACAGGAACACGTCAAAGTTGAAGACCAATGTACGTGACGTCATTGCCAATGCAGACCGCCAGCATACACCAGTGACGTGCCTTACATCTCTCGTCATCACCCCTGACTCCCCACTTCATGCGCCTCCTACCCGAGGACCACCATCGCCGTCACCCGCCTTGCGCTCAGCAGCACGGCTATGGCTGCCGTGCGCACCCTGGCCAGCAGCGCTAGCGCAGCTGCTCGTGCGACAGCGCAGCAGCATGGCCGCATTGCCTGCACAGGCCAGAATATCCCCTTCTGCCCAGGCTCACTTTCCTTTTATGGAAAGTGAGCTCTGCCTTGCTAGCTCTGGGCCTGGCTGGACGTGCTTCCAGTAGCTTCCAGTCGGCCCGAGTGTCTGCGCCCAGGCCCCAGTTGCTGTTACGGGCCTGGGCCCTTTACAGTTGGGCACGTCCGGGTAGCCCACGATGCTACAAGTGTTTGCCGCGATCTCATTCCCTCGTGGCAGATGTGTGACGACAATACTGCATTCCAATTGGTCCACGGCCACTGAGTGATGTGTCGGCCTCTCACTGGCACTGCCTGTGCCCAGGGCGCACCCGCCAGATGTGTATAAGAGACAGGTGTCGGCCTCTCACTGGCACTGCCTGTGCCCAGGGCGCACCCGCCTGAGCCCTGGGCTCAACTGTCGGACGTAGTAGCTGCTCCCGGACGAAGCCAGAAAAAGGCTCATGCGGCTTTGTAACCAACTGGCGTGCTGCAACTGTCTGATACCCCTCGAACGAAAAATGGCAAAAACAGGCCTCACGCAATTATGCTGGCCCGCCTTCACTTAGGGCGGGCACGAGGCTTGATGGGGCTTGAGCCCAGACCGTCTGTGTGCCCGGGAAAAGGCCATTGGGGGGGGGTTAATCCCCGTAACAATGCCTACATTGTTAGAATATGACATTGGCTGCGTTATGGAAACGATCAGGAATTTCTGGCCTGACCTGCTGTGCACTAAAGGATGCTGCCAGAGAACCAGGCTGAAAAGCAGAGACCGCAGCAGATCCATGATCAGATGTCAGGTCCAGATGCAGAAACCCAGGTCCAGAAGCAGACCGCTGGTCTGATAGCAGACCTCAGATACAAAATCAGACTCCAAATTGAAAACCAGACCCCAGGTCCTGAAGTAGGTCCCAGGTCCGAAGGTAGAAATAGTGGTTCAACAAAAAAAAAAAAAGGTACAAGTAGCTGAAGGCTGCTGCTGCTGCTGCTCCTGCTGTCCCATTGATGATGCAGATTGCAACATAAGCATTGTGGATCAGATGCCTCTGTCAGAAGGCAGCGAGACACACTTCCCGTAGCACACAATGTTCACAAGCTCACATCGTCTCTCTCTCTCTCTCTCTCTCTCTCTCTCTCTCTCTCTCTCTCTCTCTCTCTCTCTCT